TCAGCTGCACGCACCCCGCGCTCCCGCAGCCCCTTCAGCAGAGGCCGCTCCTTCGTGTGCTCCTCCCCAGAATCCCAGGGCTCCACCTTCCCCGGGCTCCCCAGGGCCCGGGGCTGCGGGCTGGCGGGGCTCAAACCCACCGGCCACTCCGGGCCTGCCTCTGGGATAAATAACCGTAGACACGCAGCAAAGCAGTAACGAGGCTTCATGGATGAGAGTGAAGTGGGACTTAAGAGCGCGACACCTTTGGTTCTTAGGAAATACATTCAAGCCATGTACGGAAGTCACCTTGCAGGTGCTTTGTGGAAGAAGGCGTTTGGGTTAAAACAGGGTTCATGTGACACTCGAGTCAAAGCAGGAACACGGGCTGTGAGAGGTGGGATGGCAGGCCCGGACGCTTTTCAGGACTTGCAGGACTGAGTTGCCCAGAGAGGCTGGAGCGGCGGCCAGGTGCACGGCCCGGGGCACCTGCTCTCGGCCCGGGGACACCCGCACACTCCCCTGGTGCTGCGCGCACAGCCTCTGTTCCCTGATGCATGGGCTTGTTCTCTTGTGCTCCCAGGAATGCTGAGCTACTGTGACAGATACAGCGAAGGCATGAAACGTGTCCTGAAGACTTTTGGACCCATTCCAGAGTTTTCCGGGGCCACAGCTGAGAAAGTGCACCAGGTGTGCAGACCCACTGCCTGGGGCGGGGTGGCGGGCTGTTTTTTGTAGCCAGGATCCTCACCCCAACTTCGAGGTTCTGTGTCCCTGCCCGTCCACAGCCGTCCAGGTCGTGGGGGGCCTGCAAGCAGTGTGACCAGGAACAGTGGCTCTGGATTTGGAAGGTTTTTTAAAAAGTTAATTGAATGTTGGCCTTACTTCTTTTGTCCCTGAAAGCAGATTCTCAGTTTTCCTAAATAGGAGCAGTTACCCTCCTGCTCAGTCAGTTCCTCTTCATGCCTCTTGTTCCTTTTCTCCTCTTTTCTTTCTCTTTTCCTGTTCCCAGGCCATGTGTGTGAAAGTCCCAGATGACCCAGCGCACTTAGCTGCCAGGAGGGAGTGGAGGGACAGGTGCCTCATGAGACTGGCCAAGCTGAAAAGCCAGGTGCAGCCCCAGTGAAGCCTGCCCGCCTCCCGCCGCCCGCCGCCCCCTCGCTGGAGGCCGTTTGCTGGAATTACGAGCACTTAGTCCAACCGCTCTGAGCGCGGGGCGCAGGGTGCTTGGTGGACAGAGTCCGACTTGCTCCCCACGGGTGGCGGGCACAGCGGTGGAGGGTAGGCCGTGGTCGCTTCCCAGCATGCCCTGGGCTCGGGGCCACCACCGCACTCAGGTCTGAGGGCTTGATTCCCTGCACTCAGACAAGCCAGGGGGACAAGTGGCTGAAGGTCTGACCATTTAGTCTTAGTGTGATTACATGTGGCTACATTTTATAGCCAGTGATTATAGTTTCCAGTTACCTCAATCAAGCGACGGATCTTGGCAATCATCTCCTGAGCTCGTGCTGGTCCCTATGGCCCAGCATTTATGAGACCAGCGCGTTCATTTTCTTGATGTTTATTCCAAATAAAAGGTTTTGATCCCATAGAGACACCTGTGTCTTCTGTGCCTTCTGAGAAAGACGGCGGTCCCGACGATGGGCGTGTTTCCAGGGGCCGCGATGGTTGAGTCTTAGGCTGATTCTTTGCTCCCGGCCTTTGTCTGTCACCAGCGAAAGCCCACACTTTGGGCCAGTTTCCCACCTGCCCCGGGTCCGCGGTCGGGTGTGTCTGGGAGGCTCTGTCTCGGCCCCACCCTGGCTCTCACGCGGGACACACGAGATCCCACGCACGGTTCTGCAGGGGAGAGACCCTTCTGACTTGAGCCCAGCGCCTCCCTCGACACAGGGTCTGGTCCAGCGCCAGTTCCGCCGGTGCTCCAGGAACTAGCGTCCCAGCTCCCAACACCGCACGCCAGCACTGCGCGGACCCGCTGATCACTGATGCCCCGTGGCGCGCTCCACTTCAGGTGACCGGCCCCCGGCTTCACGCGGGAGGGAGACGCCTTTCCTCGGGCCAGGGCTGCGGTGTGTGGGAACCTGCACCCCTTTAGGAACAGAGGAGGAGTCATGGCTCTGGCCATGTTCCTCCATCAGGTTCATTTACGCTTCAGCCACCTGAACAGCTGGGGTGCCCCGGCATCAAGCACCCGGTCCCTGCCCTTGGAGCCCTCCGGGAGGACAGCGCAGCGTGAGAATAAAGTGGGGGAGCTGCTCCTGGGATCCTGTGCGACCAGCCGCCCCTGGGGGTGGCTGGGATACACTTGCCGGATGAAGCATTCCCGGCAGGGGGAGTGGTTCCCTGGGCCCAAAGGAGGGCCCTCTGGGGAGCCTGGAGCTGGGACCAGATCCAGATGGGGCCCAGGGCCGAGCGGTGGTCAGAACACACCGAAGAAACGGGGCCTGACCGGGCTGAGGGTCTGAGGGGCGGTCAGCTCAGGAAGTCAGAAGTCCCTCCTGACAACTGGAGGGTCTTAGCTGCGACGGACTCAGCCTGCTCCTTCCCCAGGCAGCGCTGCACCCATGTCCCCAGTGCCTGTGCAGTCCCCTCTCCTGTGAGACACAGGTGACACACGGTGTCCCTGGGGGTTAGAGAAGGGGTCCCTGTGGTCCCTCTGATCCTCGCTCAG